ACAGCAAGGGCCATTTTTAAAAAAGAGCGTTGATGGTTTTATTCCCTGAAAGTGGTAAGTGGCCCACACTTGGTGCACACATGCTGGGAAGAGGCGGGAGAGCCTAATGGAGCAAAGCACCCACCTGAACTCCATCCAGAGACCGCGTCCTCCGCGAGCGTGCACGCACACCGCACATGTGCGTGTGAGACGCAGTCGGATCTTTGCACGCATCTTGTACCGTGCTATTTTTACTCAATATTCTCAACATTTCTCATCTTCAAAACCGTGATTTTGATGACAGCGCAGGACTTTGGCATATGGGTTTAGAAAATCTATGTAAACCCGGATTGTTTCCAGCGTTTGCTATTTTAACGCTGATGCAAACGTCCCCATACATAAATCCTCTGCTTTGGATTATTTCCTGTGGTAAATTCCCAGCAGCAGGCCAAGGTGCACGGACCACCATCTCCAGACGCCCGATGCCCATTAGGGAGGGCTTTTGGGAGCAGGTGAGGTTTGAGGCTTTGGGGGGACTTGAATACAGAGGAGGGAGAAGGGGGGCAGTCTTGTTTTGGGAACAGTGTAAGCAGAGCCGGGGCACCTCCTGCCGCATGGGGATGGATGGCAGGATCTCTTCTTCCCAGATGACCGCCCCGTACCTGTCTGAGGCTCCGAGGCAGTCTGGTTTGTCCTGTCCAGCTGTGGATGTCTTTCGTGCCCTCTGGCTCGATGACATCTTGCAGACAGAAGAGGAGGCAGTTCCGTGCTGCTCCCCACGGCTCTCCACGGGTCCAGTGAGAGGCCGCTTTTCTGCCCAGGCATCAGATCTGACATACGGTCACATAGGGTCTCAAATCTGCAAAATGGCCAGCTCATGAGCACTCCTGTTGGCTTCTGTGGCCACTAGTGGACACCCTTTGGCTGGCTCTACCCTTGCAGGGAAGGGGAGGGGTACCTGCCACCGGGGGAGGTCACACACCCCCACTCCGGAGCTGGTGGAGGGGGCTTCCAAGGACGGGGGCTGTATGTGTGTGCCTGGGACCCAGGGTGTGTTTTTAGGATTCTGAGGGGGGGAAGCTTCAGGACGGTCTGCTAATTTTTCCCAGCTGGGTGTTGCTCGTGTCACGACATCCTCCGTGGGGAGGCAGCTTTGTACGGGGCGTCCCTTGCGAAGCCTGCCTTAAAAAATGATCTTGTTTCATCACCAAGTTTCCCGGTGTAAATCTAGAGCAGGGTCACTCCTGATGACTGCTCCTACCGTCTGGGGTTTTGTGGATTCCAGGAGAGGAAAAGGAGGTGGCTTTTTCTCCTGGGTCCCTGGAGAGGGGCTGGGGTGCAGGGCAGGGTGGCAGCACCAGCCAGAGAGCCCAGATAGGCCTGCAGCACAGAGGCCTCACCCCTCCAGCGGTTGCTGTGGTAACTTCTTGGGGCTGCCATAAGAAGTTACCACAGACTGTGGGGCTCAAACCGCGGAAGTTTATTCTCACAGTTCTGGAGGCCTGAAGTCCAAAGTCAAGGTGTAGCAGGGTCATACTCTCCAAAAGCATGAGGAGAGAATCCTTCCTGCTTCTCCCAGCTTCTTGGTGGCCCCCGGCGTCCCTTGGCTTGGGGCTGCATCACCGCGGTCTCTGCTGGTCTCACGGCGCCTGAGTTTGTGCCTCAAATGCCCCTTTTCTCTCCTGTATAAGACCACTTACAGGATTTAGAGCCCCTCCTAAATTCAGGATGGTGTCATCTTGAATCCTTACCTTATCTTCCCAGGTAAGGTCACCTTCACAGGTTCTGGGGGTTGGGACTGGGACATATCTTTTGGGGGACACGATTCAACTCATTACAGAGCCGTAGAGGAAGGTGGAGCTTCTCAGGCTGAAAAGGCGGTGAAGACCCGGTGCCCCTCTGCTCCCGAGGCCCCTTGTCTGGGGCTTCCCCGGGGCTCCGTGCCCACCGGTACCAACCTGTGACCTGCTCCCACCTTCAGCTCATGTAGAAGCAGCACCTGAGGCCCATGAAGGGACAAAGAGGTGGCTCGTGGAGTTACAAACGGTCCGGGGACCCCAAACCCACCCCCCACCCCAAAGCCAATCACCATAGTCCTGACATGGCCTGGATGACATGGGAGGGGGACGTATGAATGTGTTGGGCTAGGGCAGGAGGCGACAGCGAGCCTGGCCTTGGAGGGGACTTGGAATCAAGTTTGTTTGGGGGGATGGCATAAATTCTCCAGAACAACCCTAACAATGCAGCCGGCTTGCCGACGTCACCACCCTGAGGGTGGGAGCTGCTCCTGTTCTCTTGGGGCCTAGGAGTAACCCAGGATGGGATGGTGCCTGAAGCCCGAGGGTGAACACCTTGGTCGATGGTGTAGTGGGACGAGGAGCTCACAGGTCATGTAGGGCCAGGGGTGGCGTGTGCTGCGACAGGGCACAAAGCCGCGAGAGGAGAGGGCGGCGGGTGGGGACAGGAGCGAGCGTCTGTGGAGATGGCTGTGGTGGGGTGACCTGCAGAGGGAGGAGGGTTGCCGGCCCGGCTCAGCAGTGATCTGTGTGCGGGTCGGGTTCGAATTCATCACCACCCTGCGACCGTTGGTGCCTGAGTCAGGGACCAGGCTTTGCTTTGGTGCACGGTCCTAACTCCGGGGTCGGTGGTTAAGGGCACCTCCAAATGCGCTTCCCAGGGAGAGGGCTCTCCAAGTGGGGTCACAGGCCTCGCCGGTACTCCCAGAGAGGAGGTCGTCTCATTCTGGGGCGAACGTGGGGAAAGGCCTACCCCCCTGATTTCTGTTCTCCAACTCGGCCCCACGGATTAACCCCAGGGACACCTGGAAATGCCTGTGCCGAGGTGGGTGGGGTGTGGACCCCACCTCTAGGGAGCTCACAGACAGACAGACAGGAACCACCGTTCGAGGGGCAGTTTGGACAGTGCTCTCGAGGCCGGGGGTAGACCAGATGCCTCGAGGTTCCGGGGAACCCTATGAGGTCATGGTTCCAGGTGTTCCAGGTGTTCAGCTCTGGACTTTCTGGCCACTTTAATGCACCCTGGCCCTGTCCTTTGTCACCTCAGCCTTCTTTGGAATGAGCGGTTTGCTCTCTGTGGTTCTCTTAGAGGCTAGGCCCCAGGGGAGAGGTGCTGGCATCCCTGCTTGGACACATCCCTGCCACTCAGCACAGGACCCCACCGCCCTTGGCCACGTTTTCCACCAGAGGTCACACGCTGGGCCCCCAGGCCAATTGCAGCCTGTGGATGGGTTTCTGTTTGACTGCTCCGTGTTTTAAGAGGCGTTGTTTTCCTCTGCGCCAGCATATACAGGTCAGGAGATGGCACGTAAAAAAGTGCAGATCTCCAGATTCTTCTGCCAAGCCCGAAGCTCTGGCCACATGGGGCACACGGGCCCTGCCAGGCAGCAGCAGAGCTGAGCAGCTGGTGGATCCCCGAGACAGGGTGCTCAGTGACATGCTAGGTCCCCCTGACCAGGGACACTTCTGTCCCTGCAGGGCCTCTGGGATCGCTGAGCTTTGCAACTCAGGATTTTGTGCCCTTTGTGCCCCGAGAAGGAGATGTGCCCAGGGCTCAGAGGGGTGCTGCTGGGGTGCCACCTTTGGGGAACCGGTAGATCAGGCAGCTAGACGTCGGGGATAAGGGCCTCCTTTGCTTCTTCACTCTTCCAGTGCTTATGAGCACATGCTTCTCTGGCCACCCACCCACTCAGCCGCCCGCCAGGCCCTGATCTCTGGAGGAAGCACCGTCCACTGGGAAGAGACAAGACTGTGCTGGAATTTGGGGGAGGGAAAACTCAGGGTTGGGGGGTGGTGCTGAGAATGGCCCCAGATTGCTGTTGTTGGGGCCGGGGCCAGCTGGGGGCCCGGGGAGGAACTGGCAGGGTCCTAGGAAATCCTGGGCTTGGCGGGGGAGCTGGGCTGGCGAGGTGAGGCGAGGGGTGGGAGAGGCACTCTGGGCCGCCGAGGGCCTGCTGGGGGCCCGGCCGGGAAGGAGCTGGTGAATGTTCCTGCCACGTGGGCCTCTCCTGCTCTGGTCTTTATGGTGGGAGCAGCTGGTTCTTGTTGGGAGTGTGGCCGCAGGGACCATGGGGATGGCTGGCAGCTTCCCAGGCACTGTGTCCTGGCCTCGGAGGGAGCAGGTCCTGGCGGAGGTAGTGGGTGGCCGGGCGGAAGCACTGGGCTGCAGGGTGGGAGTCAGGTGGCCAGCGTCCCACGGGGGTCCAGGTCCAGCTAGGGAAGGGAGCAAAGCACGGAGGCAGATGCGGCCGAGGGTGAGGACCGAGAGAGTTGCCACGCCAGGGCTCCGTTCTGCTGCCCGAAACAGGACAGCCAAGCAGTCAGAATCTTGGGCCTTGCCGCTGGACAGATGCATCTTCCGGCCCCGCCGCTCTGTCTCCACGCTGTTGGGCACGTTGCTTAAGCACCAGGGCCTCAGTTTCCCCATCCGTACCAGGGGTTAACCGGTATTTACAGCATTGGGTCGCGTGAGGAGTGAACATACATGGTAAACCCAGTGCCCGTGTTGGCGGTTGATGTCGGTTGTCACGATGACATCATTGCCGTCATGATTCTGACAGATTGTGGTTGTGGCTGGTGTGACTGGGGACGCCTCCCGCCCTACCCTGCCCAGTTGCTGCTGTGTGTTTGTGTCTGGTGGCGTCTGCGCTGGGCGGAGGTGAGGAGGGATAAAGGAAGGCTGCCAAGGAAGAAATCAAAGCTCTGCTTGAGCCAGAACATCTTTATAGAAAACGTGGCTGCCACATCCACGCCGTGGCCATGGGGGACAGAGAGGCTGGTGTCCTCCAAGCTCCAGCCTTCTCTCTCTCTCTCTCTCTCCCAGTGTGTGTGCGATTGCTGGTGCTGGAGTGCCCTAGGAGAGTGGGGCTGTCCCCTTTCTTCCCAAGACGTGCAGGGTGCAGGAGTCTCCTGGGCCCCTCAATGCAGCACCCCTGCCTGCTCCCTCAGCAGCGCGTTCCCGAACCGTCCGCTCCTCACATTCCCCCCCCCCCCTCTGTTTTCCAGCCTTGAAAAGATCTTTTGAGGTCGAGGAGGCCGAGACGCCCAACTCCACCCCGCACCGGAGGGTCCAGACCCCTGTGCTCCGGGCCACTGTGGCTAGCTCCACCCAGAAGTTCCAGGACCTGGGCGTGAAGAACTCCGAGCCCGCAGCTCGCCATGTAGACTCCCTCAGCCAGCGATCCCCCAAGGCTGCCCTGCGGAGGGTCGAGCTCTCGGGTCCCAAGGCCGAGCCCGTGTCCCGGCGCACGGAGATCTCCATCGACATCTCGTCCAAGCAGGTGGAGAACACCAGCACCGCTGGGCCGTCCCGCTTCGGGCTCAAGCGAGCCGAGGCACTGGGCCACAAGACGCCAGAGCCCACCCCTCGGAGGACGGAGATCACCATAGTCAAGCCCCAGGAGTCAGCTCACCGGAGGATGGAGACCCCTGCCTCCAAGATCCCCGAGGTGCCCACAGCTCCCACTGCAGACGCAGCCCCCAAGAGGGTCGAGATCCAGGTGCCCAAGCCAGCCGAGGTGCCCGCCTCCCCCATCCCACCCCAGACCCTGGAGAATTCAGAACACACCCTGATGTCTCAGCTGCAGAACAGGCTGGAGCCCAAGCCCCAGCACCCCGTGGTCGAGGCCCCACCCAAGAGCCAAGAGGGTGAGTGGCCAAAGCGAGTCCTCCGTGCTGTTGTGCTCGGGGATGGGGAGCTGGCTTTGCTCTGGAGTCTGGATATGGGGGGGAGGGGGTGGGTAGCAGGTAGGTGGAGACACGATTTTGGGGAGGCCAGGAACACAGCAGGGCAGGGGTCCCAAGGCTGGTGAGGGGGACTGGCAGCCCTTTCTGTCCATTGGGGAAGGACTGGGAGGCAGGAGCAAGCTTGGCTTGCGTTGGGGCTTTGGACAGAATCTTTGCGTTTCGAGGGGCCCCCTTTACTGGTCAGAATGCCCCGTGGTGTAGAGCTTCTGCTGTCAGAGCCCCGCACGGCGGGGGTCTGGAAGTCTGGGGAATGAGGAGGCAACAGGCTCGTGTTGGGACGTGGTTTGGGACCCAAGGACTGGCTTCCATGTGTCGCTGGTTGCCGGGCCACGGGGAGGCAGACTCCTGCTCAGGAGGGATTGCGGGCTGCCCCGTAAGTACCCGCCAGAGGCAGAGGCCTTGGGTGGGAGGAGGGGGTTCGTGCCCTCCTGAGGTTTTGTCCTGGAGGACCTTCCTCCAACTCTTCCTCAGGGAGGGAGGGTCGGTCGTGGCTGGAGGCAAGGGAAACGAGAATACCTAATCTCTGTGTGCCCCAATTCTGGGGGCAGCTAGGAAGGGGTCCTTGGGCCGGGGAGCCCCATGATACCTGCACACAGCTCCGCTGGGGATGCTCTTCCAGTGAGGGAGGGAAGCCAAGGGCTTGGGTGCTGTGCTCCGAGGGCCCAAACCCAGAGTTGTGCTCCCGTGGGGAGCTCGCCGGGGCCCGCTTGGGAACGTCTGGCCATGGGATGCGGTGATCAGGGGCTGGCGGGGCTGTAAACCTTTTCCAAGTGCAGGACTTGGACGCAGTAAACGCTCAGTAAGTATTCTTTGGGTTGGATAAACAAAACATTCTAGGTTTTTGATTGACCTTTTAAATTATTATTATTATTAAAATTTTGGTAAAATACGTATACCGTGAATTGACCACTTGAACCGTCGTGAAGTGTGAGGCTCAGTGGCATTGAGCACGCTCATGCTGTCGGGCAGCCAACTCCACCATCTGTCTCCAGAACCTTCCCAAACCGAAACTGTGTCCCCACCAAGCACTAACTCCCTCTGGGGGAGTTAGAGCCCTCCGTCTAACTCGTCCCCCTCTGCCAGCCCCTGGCGACCCTCCCCCCGCCCCCGTCTACCCTCTGTCCCCGTGAACCTCCCAGACGTGGGATCCGACAGTGTTCGTCCTTCCGTGTCTGGCCGACTTCACCGAACACTGTGTCCTCACGGTCCATCTGTGGTGTAGCCTGTGTCGGCATTTCCTTACTTTTTACGGCTGAGTAATATTCTGTTGTGCGGACAGACCTCATTTTGCTTGCCCCCCCGCCCCACAACTTCCTCCTTCGGCACAGACTCGGCTCATGCTCACTTACACCAGAGTCCGCGGACGGACCCCAGGCTACAGCTCCTTGGCCACTGTGAGCATATCGGTGCACGGACAGCCCGTCCGTACCCTGCTTTCAGTTTTTCTGGGTTTTCCTTTTGGAACACAAGTTTTCCCATGGTCCGTGGGCTTAGGGACTGGGGCGGCTTTCGGCGCCCGACGGGGTGGGGTGTTGGATGGGGGCCAGCGCTCCTCACGCTTCAGTGGGAGCAGCTCCCTTCGTTTGACCGAGCAGCTGGGGATGGGGGTGAGGGCCAAGACTCTGCATTGCTGCAGTGCTGGGCCTCAGCCCACCCTCCCATCTCCCCAAACTTGACCCTGCAGAGCCACGCCCACCCACTCAGATACTGTGGTGTTGGCACAAAGGCATGCCCAGTGTGCGGGGAGTGGTCTTCTGTTGGCCCAGGGCCTTTGCCACCAGGTACGACCCCCTCCCATGGGCGAGGTGTTCACGCCCAGCTGAGTCAGGCAGGATGTGGTTGGGGACATGGTCAGCACCAGGCCCGTCCGTGTCCAGATCTTGATGGCAGCTCGTGCTGGATGAGTGAGGAGGCGGTCCTGGCTCTGGGGGATGGGCAGGGGGTGGTCTACCCAGGGTGGTTCTGCCCTGGGTCATCAGGGTGGGCAGGGCACAGCCTCAGGGATGCAAGACTGTCTTCCTCCAGCACAGATGCTACTCGGGGCCCCACTTAGCCCAGAGGCTGTGCTGGGAGCCAGGGCCGCTGGAGCCGGTCAGGCTGGCTCTGCCTCAGGAGCAGAACAGTCAGTGAAGAGCAGCCAGGAGCCATCGAGGGGGCTGTGGGGGTCTTCCCGGAGCCCAAGGTGCTTGAGCCAGCCATGGAGAAAGTAGGATTTATCCAGAAGAAGAAGGGGAGCTGAGGCAGCGTCCCGAGGGGCCCAGGAGCCTGGAGCTCAGAGGGAACTGCAGACTTTGTCCGTGGAAGAGAGTTTAAATGTCCAAGCCCAGTGCCAGAGCCCTGCGGTCAGCAGCCCAGACCCCAGTGCCCCTCAGAGAGCAGCCAGTGGGTCCAGCAGATGGGGGTCCAGCTCATGGGCCAGTGGCTGTCCTCCTGCCTCGGAGCGTAAGCTGGGGGTGGGGGGTGTGTGCCAGGCACGTGTATACATGCGCGTGCCGCGACCTCCTGTGTCTCATCAGCTGGGTGGGGAAGGGGCTTTCTGAGACCGGTGCTCACAGGTTTGAGAACCTTCAGGCTGGACAGATGCAGTTAGATAGGCGGCTGCAAAGGGGAGGAATGCTGGGGGAGGGGGAGGGCTGGAGGAAGTGGGGGCTCGGATGGCTCCGGTGGGGAGGATTCTGTTCCCTTTGGGCAGCACTGCGGTGACCCCGGTCCTGGGGCCTGGGAGTAATGCAGGGTGTGAGAGGTTGGGTGAGGAGGAGGAGGCACGGCCCACTGTGGGCTGGAGAACTTGGCCCTGACTGGCTCGGCCTTGGATGTCCATTCTTGGAGTCCTGGGCAAGCCCGGTGGCAGGCAGGGCCCTTCCGGTGGAGGTGTGGTCCAGGAATCCGTTACAGTGGCTTCTGGGGGTCCCCTGCTCTGAGGCTCTGTCTGCTCCCCCGCCCCTCCCTCTCCTCTGGTCATATCCCGTCCAGTCCATCCAGACACAGATCCGATTGCCCCTCAACCTGGCTTCCCATCCGTCTTTCCCACTGGACTGGCACTCCCATCCCCTTCCCCCCCCCCCCCCCCACCCTGTAGGCCTTGCTCCGACTGCCCCCTGTGGGCACGCCGTCCCTGGCACCTGAGGCCAGCCGGCACCTCAGGGGTGAAGGGTCAGGGAGGGAGGGAGCTCTGTGCCCTCTGCCTTCCGGACTGTGGCTTCAGGTGCAGCACAGGGTCTCCAGGGAGCACGGCCGAGTGGCTCCCAGATGGAGCTTCCCACAGCACAGCACTGATGAACTCCCCGCCAGCCCTGGGCCTTCCCTGGCCTGCTGTCCACGGGGCCCTCCACGGTCGGTTCCCTCTCTTGTCCAGCTCCAACCTCCCTGCTCCCCGGGCTCCTCCTGCTCTGGTCCTGTCACGGCCTTCACAGGTCACCTTTCCTCACCTCCTGACCCCTGACCCCTGACCCCTGGCCCCTGACCTTCTTCCTCTCCACATTGCTGCTTTTTGAACTTATATGCATCCTTCAAAGCCCAGCGCAAATGGCACCTCTTCCACGAAGCCCTCCTACTAGAGTCAGAAATAGCGTCACTTCCTTTGACTCCTGTGCCTTTTTGCATTTTTTTGGTCTATGATGTCTTGTGTGTGGCTTACAGTGTTAATTATTTGTGTTGCATGAAACTTTCTTCCTCTGCGAGACTTCTAGTGTAAAAGTAGCTTCTCAGCGTACCTTTTCTTTTCAGATTTAGAAAATCTAGAAGTCAGAATCTAAGGTTCACTTGTAATCCAGCGATACCCACTCTGAGCATTTGCTCTGTATTTTTCAGAATCCCCTCCGTGCCCTACTAGGTTCTGGGTTATTTGAGGGTAAGGCTGTTGTCTGTTTTCTTCAAGGTTTTTTGTTTTTGTTTGTTTGTTTTACTGGCTGAGTGACATAGATGTAGTAGGTGCTCAATAAAACAATGTTGGAGGGGTGAGGTGGCTTTTTGTGGCCCCTTCGGACATCAGGACCCCAGGGACCCCATGGGGCCTTGCAGGGACCAAGCAGATCCTTTCCTGGTCAACCAATAACCCACAGGTCTGACCTGCTCCATTCTGGTGCATCGGGGTCTGTGTTTCTGAGGCTGCTGGTCCCAGGCCCTGACCCTTGACCCTCCTTGTCACCCTTCGGTCATCCCTGCTTCTTTTAGGCTCTGGGTGAGTATGGCTTTGTCCCCTTGCCTAGGTCCCTGCTTTTTCCCCTGCCCGTACATGAGTGGCTCTGGGTGGGGCAGGGCCACTGGACCCAGAACCATGTCTGTGCGGTGAGCTACTGGCTCCGCTCCCCCTTGGGAACCACCCACCTCTGGTTCCATGGCTGACACCGGCCAAGTTTCCCCCGAGACTGCCTTATAAGGCGGGCACAGGCTGCTCAGTCTCCAGGCTGCGGCTTTGCCGTCGCCGGATGCTAACTGGGAGCCCTGGGGGAGGCTGGGGCTGACTGGGCAGGGTGGGGATCGAAGGGCCCTGGACCGGCTCTTGCTGAGTTCTTGCCCAGGGCCTGGTTCTGTCCCATGGGCCAGCTGGTTGTGAGCCATCCCTTTGCCCGCCCTCCAGCCTCAGTTTCTTGATCTGTCCCACAAGGGACTGGTTGGGGCTCCTGTCCTGAGGCAGTGGGGCCGGAACCCTGTTCCACGGTGGTGCCAGGTGTGGCTGGTGATGGTGGGTGTGGAATTGGGGTGGGGCAGACTCACCAAGTGTCTCAGTAGGGTTCCCCTCTGACTAATAACATCTAGAAATGTTCTTGGCTATGGGTGGAGCATTGAGGCAGGTGGCCATCAGGTCCCCAGGCTTCAGGCGGTGGGCATGGTGTCTGTGCACACCAGGGGTGCCTGCCTGCCTTCTCGGTGGACCTGGGTTCCTGCTGCACCAAGCCTGT